TGTTTCTGTCCTTAATTATTTTTGCCCTCTTATGCGCCCCCCTCCTTTATATGCCCTCATACATAGCCTTTATTAACTTGGTTGTAATATAGGCGTTTCTCGAAAATGTGACTTTCGTCGAAAATTATTTATTTTTATCTCAGTAAATAATATTTTCTAAACCAAACTTTGCTTTAGTTCTTTGACACGTCTTTTATTTTCCGCTATCAGACTTTGGGAGCCGTAGTGTTTACCGATTCTGCGTTAAAGTCGTTTACCTGTGTTAATTCATGACATTTCACGAGTTAGCACAGGTACTGTAAGTTCTTTCGAAAGCGGACACCCTGAGGTATTTGGATCATTATAGATTTATGCTGCATCGTGATTAGTTTAACAACACTACGTAATTTATCTTTTTTGAAACGAGAACGCATTTCCAAATTTTGATTGGCATTTCATGAGTTAGCACATCTACTGTAGTCAGCGGAGTAAAAACACGACAATCCAATAGCTGCAAAGGGACATCACGTTTACGTATTATTATCATTAAATGGTAAACATAATGTCCCCTTTTAATTAATGACAATATAAAGGATTAAAACTTGTGATGCCGCTGCGTTCGTACGTGTTCAGTTCATTCTCTCAACACAAATGTTTGCCGGAGTAAGCTACCCCGTCCCTAAATTATATCCTTGCCGGGTTTATTTCAGGTTTAAAAGGTCTCCAATTACGGGATTTTAAACGCCAAGAAATTTCCATTCTAACAACATATGTACATTTATTAATGCCACTTATAAAGTATTTAACGTCGTCCACGTCGCTTGTATGATGTTTTATCAAAAACATATAGAGACGCAGTATTTTGCCTACACAAAAGTACACAACATCTATTTTACTAGCCTTTAACACAGATGTTACAGCAAGTAGGATTCAAAAGTATTCAGGAATTGAGAAAGTTTCTTAAGACCGAAAAGCACAATTCCTTCAGGGATAAAATTCAAAGAAAGCGAAAGAAGACAAAATCGATCAGCCCACGCCCAAATAATCCGGCTGTCCATTCAAAATTCTGATCGATTTTTCCCTAGACGCTTTGATAATGGGGAGCCGTCCCAGCTCTTCGAAAAGTCACCCAAACAAGTCCCTCGATTCGGTGAGCACTTCATTTTCCTCAGGTAATTTTATACGAAATGATCACAAGGATGAATATTTTAAATATGTTGTCTTTAAAATATGTTTAAATTTATAGGCGCTTAGAGAATCAATGGAAGACACCTACGCTAATAAAGCCGTTCTTGTTACGGAGTGTAGTTTGTTCAGGCGACCGAGAAGAAGCTTGTTCAAACGCCGGCATTCTGACCTGACTGGAATATGTTGGGATAATACTTCACTTTAATTGATATTTCAATCCTACTTAGGGAACCTTTTTTAATCGCAAAACACCTTGTAACTTCGGTTGGCACCCAGGCTGACGTCTGGTTGCTGTTTCACTGGAAGACGGAACTGCAAGTCAGAAAACAGTCATGCATTTTGCCACGCACGCCAGATTCGGTGCTAATCCAGTTGACGTCAGCGCCAGACGTGCTGAGACAATTAGAGGACAGTGTCTGTTGACTCGTAGTCAGCCTGGCGCCTCCAGGACCCGAGGCCTAGACTGAGGGCTTGTAAGGACGAATGCTCTCTGTTCTGTTCGCTGTGAGTGCCTCTACCCACTTAGCTCTGTGACACTTCATGTTTGAGCAACCTTTGGTCTGTTGACGATCACCGCAGTAGTCTGCACCACGTGGAGGAGGCGGCGGCCCTTAGAGCATTGAGGAGCGCGCTGGTTCAGTGACTGCTAGTACCCGCTGAGGCGTGAACCTACAGTGAATGACCGATCTCATGAAATGTTGGCTGAAATTCTGAAATGCGCCTTCTATTAGGGAGGATTACTTGGTCGTGGTTGTAATAATGATTATCTTGCGGCATAATCTTACAACATTTCGGACTCGGCAGGATGTCAGCTTTTGAATATACTGCTTTTCAATCTCCTGTAGAAACATAACTTGGTAGAATACGACTACTTAAGTAGCATGTATTTTTCCCATTGACTTTCTATGGTCATGCTAATTCAAATATATTATGCGGAAACCATGAACAAAAATATGCTTTTTTTCAGTCAATTAATAAAGAATCATGTCATCTTTATATTTTGTTCTCAAGGAGGAGGTTACTAGTAGTTTCGATTAGTAGCATGTGCAACCGTGCTGAAATATACTCTGTCCTGCGACCAACTCTTGTCGGTTAAACGACAGACAGAAGAAGGAGGTAAAGTTTCTAAGTAGTAAGTGCGCTACAATCGCCAGGTCAAATCGCGGGTAACAAAATAAGCCAGAAGTCATAAGAAGGATGGGTTTACCGCATGGAGATACGTTAGCTGTTATCACGGAGCGTATGTGCCTCCCCAAAAGGGACCACGTGGTAGATGCGCTGTCCATATCAGATTCTGGCAGGCGTTATCGGAATGCGCACTAGAACTACTGCCAGCATCTCGGGGTACGGTGACAGACCCGGTTGCCGGCAGACGTCGCACACACTGGGACCCCTGCTGCCCTCCCCACTGTTGTTGTTGGTCAAAATCTTGGTCATTTTCTGTGCGGATCAGGGGTGCGAGCCCGACTGCGCCGTCGACTTGCGCCTCCCCGTCTCCGGTCTCCTTGACTAGGTCTTGAAACGGGGTCCGGGCGGGGAAGGGCGGGGCGAGTGAGGTAGATGCTGTGCAAGTCTATCATCACTAATTCACGCACACACTACTACCTCTGCCTTGCCATACTGTTGAAGTACACGGTGGACATCGTGGGCAACGAGACTCGAACAGCTGTAATCACAGGGCCTGTGGCGACAGATCTGTCATTCCAGAGACGGTGATGTCGGCCGATTTTATGGGCTTGTGGGAGCAAATTCGGGTGCCTTTGTGTTCACAACTAACTATACAGCAAGCATACTCGATCGACAATGAGGTCGGACTGGATCACGGCGCGTGTCTATCGGGTCAGTGTGGTATTAGGCTTGAATGCAGGCCGTCAAGCCGCGCTAGCCACTGCACTAAGTCACCCGTCAGCCGGGTGACAGGTTCGGACGGTTGACGAATGCGTGAGAAATGAAAGGGTGAATATGGCCAGTGCTGTGGAATCAACCCCGATGGAACATCAGCTCATTCTCCGTCACAATCAATCTGACGAGGTCAAATCTATAACCTGACTTTGAAGGATGGTAAGTGATAGGTTAACTCGGCTCTACTTAGTGAAGATAGTCAGGACGTGATGAGTACGTCTCACTATGGCGCTTTCAGGCGTATGAGGCTGGGATCGCTCTCGCAGTGGCCTAGAACATCTGGTCGTGTATGGCACGCCTAGACGGGCTGTTAAAATTTGTCATTCCACCTCTAATCTTCTGGACAGTGGCTTGTTATCAAGGCAAGCCGGGTGAGTGATGAGAGGGTGCGGTAAATGCTGCGTAGGTCACTCTCGTTCGATCACTACGTGGGACGCATGGTGGCTGTCGCCATTCGCGACGGTCGAACTATAGTGCGTCGCAATAGCCAATGCGTAGCGTGCCCGTATAGGGCATGAACGGTCGTGGCCGTCTAGATGCGCGCCTGTAAACGGTCCACAGTCGGTCAAACTGTAAGTTTGGCGCGTTTGTTGCGGCTGGACGGTAAAATGAGTAAAATCAACGCAGCAGAACATTGTACAGGTACGCCAAACAGCGTAATGATGGGCGTCGGCTGCGGAATTAATTACTTTGCCAACGGATCAACGGACTTTCGGTAGAGAACACGGCCAATTCCGTTTCGTAGCGAAGTTCCTTCCTCGCATTTTAATATTCAATTGAAACCGAAGAAGTAAAACATGAGAGATTTTTCGGCCTTTTCAGGTCCAGCTCAGACACCTAATCTTCAGTGTTAGTTGACATCGATGGTTAAATTACGTGGGCTTCCACATGCACCCTGTAACCTGCCGTCTTATGAACCGTTCAGAAAGTCGGGGCGTTTTATCATTGTCTGCCTAACTTCGAGCTTTCTTTGGAAAATTATTATAACTCACAAATGCCTGGTTTGATTTTATATCAATTCGAAGTTAGTCCATGAGTGTAACTCAACGTACACAGCTTCCGTCTCGGTTTTGACATTTTATGTTACTGCGGAAGCAACGCCAACCCAAAAAGTTGCACTTTTATATTCCCTCCTCCAACCTGTGAATAAGATGGCCTATGATGACTTATTTATCTTTCATTGCACCAGTATCGTCACAAGAAATACATCTTCGAAACTGCTACTTCACCAGAGCTTTCAAAGAATCGGCTTTGCATTGAACTTGCATTTTTTTATGTAATCTCCTGCAGCCATGATCTGGGCCCGCGGGGTTAGGGGAATCAAATATCCCTGACCATGAATACGGTCTTGGACGTTCTCACCCTGAAGAAATTTTGTCCGTGCAGCATTAACTGCTTTTCGAGTGAAGAGCCAGCCCGTAGGATGCACCCTATCGGCCAGCAGCAAGCCTATTGGTCGATTACTTGGCCGCACTTATCTCAAGGTCACTCATTGCCATGCGCGCGCGTGCACAGTCTCAAGGCTCGTTTGCGCTAATTTGCATAGGCAGCTTTAGATACTTCGGTCTGTAGGGATCGATAAAGGCCATTTGCATCTCCCTCCTTGCCAGCTATTGAGACCTGTTGCCGACTAGAAAGGGGGAGATAACGGTGGCCGACTCGTGGTTATCAGTCGTCACTAGCCAGTGGCAACCCAAAATCAAACAAGCGCCTGAGATACGAGAATGAGTCAGTTCAGTGTGACGCGCCAGAATGCGCAGTAGATTTGTCCGTAAATGTGCACTACCCACGCCTCCAGGGATTCTAGAGGCAATTTTCCCTCTAAAAAATTCAATGAGAGATTGGTTTCTGGCAAAAATTTATTGTAAATACACATATCAGTAAGTAATTAACTCATGGGAGCGGATGCAGTATCTCGACGCCTACCCGAGCTAGGCAGTCTTAAAGAGAAGGAAAGCGCTATTTCCGATGTAGAAGTAGATGAAACGATCTTTCTCGTGGGTGACGAAGCTGAAAAGAACGATGAATTGAAGGCATTGAGAGGGAGGATTCGCGTAGATAGCAAAAAACGGTCTCGCAGGCGAATGCTGTTAACAACCTGTCCACATTTGAGAAGCTGTCATAGACTGCTATTTAAGGAACAGCCGCCATTTGAAAAAATAATGGGAATTTTTGAATTTAGCCCCATCTTCGGACGGCCACTAAACTAAGCAGTGCCGTTTCAGAGTTCAGCTAATTATCCCTTCTATTCGTGTCCACGAGTTGTTATAAAAATAAATGCAGTTCAAGGAAGACCAAGCGGACAATATACAAAAAACTCTGAAGACTGTTGTAAAACTCTGACAAATAAGCATAGAATAACTGCCCAATTCGCATAGCAGCTGTTGCCGCCAGGGGTTGGAGGTGCACACATACCAAAGGCAACCATCACGCATCAGGTACTGAAACCGAAAGACTCACTGCCATGGCGAGAAACGTATGTAGTCGTTTATCGAATCCGGTGCAGTTGTGGACAAAGCAACTATGTCTGAGAAACCGGAAGACAGCTTCGAACGCAAATGGCCGAACACGCTGCAGCGGTGCGGAGAAATGACGCCAGTTCTCAAGTTGCAGCTCATTCGACGAGATCCGGCCACACATTCAAATTCGAGGAGGCCGAATTCTCGCACAGAAGGTGAAAACCGCGTGAGCCACCAGCTGTTTGTGTCATGCTTCACTGGCCCCCAGTCAATTAACGAGCGCAAAGACCTTCCGCCTCCATATTCGCTGCTAAGACTTAGCCTAGGCGGAGTAAGTTGCCACCAGGGGAGCGCACATGACCGTTGGGTCAGATGGTCGAACAATCGTTGCACCAACATCGAAAATACGAGGTGAAATTGCATCAATTAACGATGCGAATATCGGCCATTAAGCAGTCATCACACCAAATGCAACGATCCCTGATGAATATTCATAGGTTGTCGGTGGCATGGCGACAGCATCTTATGAATACCGCAGCGCCTCCTGTATGAACCCCCTGTATTTGCTTTTGTCTCTGATGATGTGTTAGAGCAGGATTCCGAGACGTCAGGAGAATAAAGCTTTTGTCCCAGCGATCGCGTTTTCTACTTTAAGGAGATTTGAAGCTGAAACAAACGAAAAACGATTGGAGGGAGACCACTAGGTGGCCGATCACAGTAAGGGGGTGGGGACAATATACGCTAAGACCTCCAACGCAGGTCGTTCAAACACATGTGCCGTATCCGGTTAGACTTTGTAATCTCAGACGCACAGACGGTAGGTCCTAAACCAGAATCTGCAGATCACAGACCATACCAGTACCTCTATGATTCGAACGGAATGCCTGACAGGTTCATGAGCCGGGTAGGAAAGCTCAGTGTCATACAGCTGTGAATGATATAATAAACAATTTTCCGGCTAGCTCAGATGGTCTTGCTCCATATATAGCGATATGATCACGGGCTCGTTTTTCTGTCGGTTGCGATCGAATGTATACATCTCCGCATGTAACAGAGAGGAAGGATGACAAAGAATAGGCGTTGACTGAGACAGTACCGCTTCAGGCTTATTTTGCCTTTATTCAGCCAATCATAACCCTGACCACCAGCAGCTGAGACCAGAAACACAAACATGCGCACAGACGCACCAGACACAGTTGGTCCACCACTGGGGTCTACCAGATGGGTCATAAGCCCTTCATCGAACCGAAGTTCATCAGTGCCTCGCCACCTGCCATTCTCTGTCGCTGCAGATCGGGTTTTTATGCTCTCAGGAATGGGCACCAACCGATCTATTGGCTTCCCGAAGCAAATAAGCTCCGTATGGGTGGCAGATTTTGAGTTATTCGGATTGACCCCACTGTGAAAACTCAGCGCTTCGGCGGGATTCGAACCCACAACAGTAAGGGAAAGGCTTTAGTACAGCCAACGACCCAGCAACCCGAACTAGGAGGCCCCACCAAGGTGCCGAGTTTTTCACAACTGGGCCAGTATGAATTATTCAAAATCAGCCAAAACATGTATTAATTATTTGAGCCTGGTGGTCATTTGGTGGATTCTAGATAAATTACTCAGGAAATCCTGCTTGGGCAGTAAGCTTACTGAATGATATTTGGTGTATTCCAGACGTTGCAGTAGACTGGGCGGATGATTAAACCTAAATATGATCAGACTCACTTTTCCGATGGGGCCTCGTAGCACAGGCGACTAGAGCGTTGGCTGTATTTGAACCTCCCCCTTGCTGTCATGAGTTCGAATTCACATAAGGCGCCGCGTTTTTCGCAACTGGGCCAGTATGAATTACTCAAAATTTACCAAATCATATATTAACTTACCATTTATCATTGAAAGAATAGTACTACCTCCCACCCCGCATTCGTTGCTGGATGGAACTTCGGCATTTCAGGTTGTCTATCGGACATCAACAAGCTTTTCTAAAGGCTTCCGCCAACGGATACTATCAACGGCCGGGGCAGTGGCTATGCGGCCAGCGAATCCGGTGTTATGCTGTCAGACAACCCTGGAATAAGCCCTCTCTCTGCCGTGGCCAACGCCAACCTCAAGTGATGACGGCATGCCGCTTCAAATCCCTAATTACAGTGATGGGTTCTCCGTGTACTCAATCCAAGAATGTCACTCAAAAACTCTCTAACCCCCTCCCCTAGCTCTGACGACTAACACCCGCCGACCTCGTCATGCGGGCGGCGTGGGGAAGATGAGTGTCAATGACTTAATAGCCCTCAAGACACCTATAAGCACTGTTAATTTTGTACATTTTCATTCCTTCATGTAACTGTATTGGCCCGACGAAGAATTACCAAAAACACGTGTTTGCCATTTTGACTTTTCAAGTGTAACATGGGAATATTTGCTCCTTCATGTAACTGTATTGGCACGACGAAGAATTATCGAAAACACGTGTATGCCAGTTTGACTTTTCGAGTTTAACATGGGAATATTTGCGAAATGACGCATTTCCTTGCGGCCGTAACGTGCAGTTTGATTGCTAGGTAGGGGTACGCGCCCGGCACCCCAAGGAACCGTGTCCTGATGAACTGTGGAAGTGTAGTTTTCCCCAATAATAACTGCACACAAAACAACCCATAAAACATTTAGTGCTCACTTCAGGCGTGCCTTTCATTGCAACTGTCGCTGAAATGAGGTCGAATCTGCGCTCGCCTAAGGCAATTTGGCGTTCCATCCATCCGTCAGCCAGTCCGTCCAAACTAAACTCAAAATGCAGCTACTAATTGCGTAAAGTGTGCAATTTTGGCGAAATTTTGTCGTCTGTAGGTCAGCTATCGCATTTTCTGGAATTCAAACTCTCAGGAACTATTCCCCACGGCCACTACACAGTAGTTATCGTCTTCAGCGTGTGTGTGTCTGACAAGGTTTCGAGAACATCCACTGACACCTTTGTGCTTTGAAACGTAACTGACATTCCCCTTAATCGCAAGATTTTTGGACTACTTGCAAAATCCCTTAGCCCTTCATGCCACGATAAAGAGGCCTTCTGACTGTTATGCTTTGAACTTAAAAGCATCGCGACGCATACTACTTTGAAGGTAGTATCAATGGCCGTGCCGCGACTAACCTTTACAAACAGTCCCGTCGTAATTTTAAGGTCTTGCTAGTCTTAATTCCCTAATAAAGGGATAAAATTTACTAAATTTGCACACATACTCATTCTAGGAAGTGTGATATGACTCAGAAAGTATTTGAATACAATTATTAAAATACACAGTCCCTAATGTAAATTAGTGTAAAGTTAGGCCAAAACGCCTAGCCAAAAGTCGGCATCCTTCTGTTTGGAAATGAAGTTGGAATTACATGACTCCTTTTTCCATTTGAAGGCACATTTGTAGTCTCCTATTACTGTTTGACCAGCTTTAGGGATAAAGGATGACTATGAAAAGTAAAGTGGCAAAAAATGTCCCTCCCGCCATCCACAGGAGGCAGTTAGATTTCAAGAGCTTTATTTGTATGAGGTTTCGGAGTCACACTCGAGCCCATCATCAGAGACAGAGGCGGATACGGATGATTCGTGCACGGGAAATTGTAGCATTATAGGGTGTAGTCGCTACGCCACTGCATACATATGGTAATTAGCCGCTCTCCCCTTCATTAAAAATTATTGCCTGCTGGTGTGCTAATTGCTTGATGGACGGCATACAAGTTGTTAATTGTTGTAATTTCATCACTCGTGTTCGACAATACCCCGCCACACATTCAAGTTCGATGAAACTGGAATTCTTCCGAAAGTTGGTAATTGCGTGAGCAGAGAGTTGCTCGAGTCATGCTTCGCGGGACTCCAGCCTATTAACAAGTGTAATGACCTTCCCACCCCATATTCAGGGCTGAGATAAAGTTTGGCCAAAGTACATTAGGTGTGCTAACTCATGAATTGCTAGCCGAAATCCCGAAATGCTTTTTCGACTCGGAAAGGTTACTTGAGAAGAATTGTCATACAATCACTCTGCAGCATAATCCCACTATAATTCAGTTAATTCAGGATGCCGGCGTTTGAACAAACTTCTTCATGGCTGCCTGCAAAAACTACGCTCTGTTAGAAAGGCTATTAAATTTGCATGAATTTTTCTCATTGATTTCGATATCCTTTTATATTTAAATATATGTGATGGAAAATATACATATAAATATTCATCCTTTTGTTCATTTGGTAGAAAATTACGTCCCTTTTTAATTCTATACTTGATTAAAGGGTAAGATTCGGGTTTTAAGAGTTTCTTATAAAGCTCGCGAGATGCCAGGTCATAAAACCTCGTGTCTTTGCATTACTTAGTGTTGCTTGTGAAATTTACAATGTGGGTCAAATCTACTGCCAAATTTTGTGAACTTCGTATGGTCTACTCATAATGCCGTAGAAAAATGGAAATGCATGGTTTTTTGTGCACGGAAAATATACAACTTGTAATTTGGAAACCCTGAATACAAATTTAACAACAGATCTGGTTTAAAATTACTTTTGAATTAGAAAAAGCCTTTAAAACCGAGTTCTACCCCTTCTTTAAGTATACAATTTGGAGAAGACGTAATTGTCTGCCAAATGACTGAAATGCTGGATTTTTTTGCGCATGCTTTCTGTTGTCTATATTTTAATTTATAAAGGTATCAAAAATCAATAAGAAAAGTTTATGCTAACTTAGTAGTCATTTTTACAGAGTGTAGTTTTTGCAGGCTGTCATCAAGAAGTTCGTCCAAACGCTGGCATCCCGAAGTAATTGGATTATCATGGGATTATGCTGCACGGTGATTAAAATTACAGCACTACTTAAGTAATATTTTCGAGTTGAAAACGCATTTCAGAATTTTGGCTAGCAATTCATGAGTTAGCTCATCTACTAAAATTGGCCACTCGGAGAGCGCGTAGGCCGGTGAGCCAGATGGCTGAGCAATCAGCACGCCTGCATCCAATACGGGTGAGGAAAGTTTACCAATTAAATACTTGCATGCTGGTGACCATCGGCCATACTCCTCGATGATTGGAAAAGCGGTCGATTATCATAGGAATGCAGTAGCATAGCGACTGCGTCGTATAAATACTGCAACTTCCCGTGCCCAAAGCCTCCCTATCTATCATTATCTCTGAAGGTAGTTTCGATAGTGAATTCGAAACGTCAAGTGAATAAAGTTCTTATTCTCCTTCTTATTAACCAGTTCCTGAAACTCGAATCTTCGCTTGTATGGACAGTTAGGATTTCAACTCTACCAACCTACCTTCCGAAGTGTTTCCCCGTAATGCACTGCCAGTTCTTGCCGTATTTACTGTCAAACGCCTTCTTAATGTAGCCGGCGATGTCCTTCTCCAAGGAACACCTCTGGAGAGCGGTTTGGGTGACTTCAAAGACCTCGTTCTGCATATCGTTGGGCATTTCGACAGCCTTGATGACCAATTTCACTTCGGCCATTTTCGATGTGGGTGGCGCGGTTCCGTTGTCAACTGTCGCCAAGCGGGCACACAGAGGGTACTTATAGATGCAAGTGTCATTCAGATGAGGTGTTTATCATGCCGTTTTAGAGTACACCAGTGTCTCAGAAGTACAACGGAGACGGGGGCATCTGACCAAGTGAGAAGTGCATAAATTATAAAGGACATAGAGGAGGGGGCTTGTAGCAGCAGAAACGAGCTTCCAGGTAGAGTGGCAATTTCGCCACATGGTCCTAATATAGCCTATCGGGGCGACAGAATCCGCCACTTGTTCTGAAACCTTGTGGGGGGAGGGGGGGGTATTAGCACTGCGAGTACGTAAACGATAAAACACAAATGCCTCTCTGAGCACATGTGGTTAACTTTAAGGGATCGCTGGCAGTCACGTAGATAAACTCAGTTTTCGTGGTGTGATATGCACATATCGCGGAATGCTGCCAAAATCATTATTTCTTTCCATTCCTACAGTGGCAGGGGGAAACAAGTAGCTGGTTGAAAAAACCCCACCAATAGTATATAGCCATCCACATGCACCAAAGATCATTGGTATCCTGGTTGTGCGGTAAGGTATGAGAGCGTTGTTGGCTGAAATCGCGCATATTTCTCAACCTCTCCGATCCCAGTTGACATAATTTCTTGCAAACTATCGTGGGTTTGCCCAGCCGTATGATCACTTACGTGGACCTATGAATATTCCCTCCAAATGTGAGACATGGAACTCTCTACAGTGTGTGACCGATCTCATGAAATGTTGGCTGAAATTCTCAGATGCGTTTTCGATTAGGAAGGATTACCTGGTCGCTGTTGTAATACTGATTATCTTGCGGCATACTCTTATAACATTTCGGACTCGGCAGGATGCTTACTTTTGAATACACTGCTTTTCAATCTCCTGGAGAGACTGTACTTGGTAGAAATTTACTACTTAAGTAGCATTCATATTTCCCATGGATTTTCGATGGTCTTTCAAATTCAAATATATCTTATAGAAACCATAAACAAAAATATGTTTTCTTCCAGTCAGTTAATAGAGAATTACGTATAATAAGGTTTTAAAAAGATTCTAATTATAAGATTTTTTAAGACCGCACAATGTTCATTCACATAGCATCATACCTGGTCGTTTACCACAGCTCCTCGTGAAATGTACAAGATAGTCCGCATCCATTGCAAAATTTTATGGACTCTGCATGATACCTTTTTAATGACATAGGAAAATATGGGATTTTCTTTACGCGGAACGCATGCACCTTGCAGACTGAAATCACTATGCGTTAATGCAACGAAAGATAAGGCTTCAAATTATTCGGCAATTAGAAAACTTTTTAAAAACGAGTTATATTTCTTACGTGTGTATAAAATATAAAGAAGATTTGATTCTCTATTAGTTGACAGAATGAAAACCTATTTTGTTTGTGGTTTCTATAAGATACATTTTAATTTACAAGACCATCGAGAATCGATGGGAAAGATTCCTGCTAATTTCCTACCGAGTACGGCCTCTACAGGAAATTGAAAAGCAGTGTATTCAAAAGCTGACATCCTGTCAAGTTCGAAATGTTATAAGAATATGCCGCAAGATAATCAGTATTACAACCGCGACCAGGTAATCCTTCCCAGTCGAAAACGCATTTCAGAATTTTAGCCAACATTTCATGAGATCGATCACTCACTTTATGATTATAACCACGTAAATGATGAAGTAGTCAAACTCTGCGAACTTGCTTTTGGATTGTTAACCCACAGGGTCAAACGTTACTATAGGCATTTTATGTTATAGCAGCAAATTCATAACAGTTGGCGAACAAGATTCATGAGGGTGGGGGTTGGGGTGTTCAACCACTTCAAAACCAGGGGTAACTAGAGTTTATCTCGGCTAATATTATGGAGGAAAGTAAGGAAAGGAGATCTGCTGATGAGTAATGCCCGTATTTCGTCGTTGTATCTTGACGTGGCAGGATACGCGTTCGACCATGTACGGCCTAACGTATGCCAGAGACGCTTGAGAATTTGAAACAACGTCTTATTCGAGCGTACCTTCGGGCTTTTTAGCCGTATGGCTGTCAACTACGCCGTCTCAAGCATTCTCCTGTGTTGAAGCTTGTAGTGCTGCGTCGGGACCCGCTGCCATCTGCTCGGTGGCCGCCGTTAGCCAAGTAGGCCAGAATCGCGCTAGAGAAAGACTTTTTCAGACCTTGATTTGGCCGGACAAGTTGGTGCTCTCGCATTTCTGAACACCATCAACACTTCTTCTATGATTACTGTTCATTTCTTGCCTCTGATCATGCTGTCATAATGTAAGCAACCTACAGTAGGTGGACTTACTCTTGAAATGTCGACCGAAATTTCGAAATGCCCTCTTGTTTTGAAAAGATCAAGTAAGTAGTCGATTTTAAAAACCATTTCTAACTCTCAAATAATTTTGATCCCGACCCGCTGCTATAATTGCATTCAGGGTTACAAAACTACAAGACGTATATTTTCCGTGTACAGAAAACCATGCATTTCTCTATTACCGTATGGGGTTTATGATAGTAAGCAGCGGATTTGAACAACACTGTTAACTTTACAAACCATATTGGTAAATGCAGATACATGACGTTTAATGAACGGCCATTGCACGATGTTGAAAAATCTCACGATTATAAACTTTTTAAAACCGAATTACACCCTTATTTCGAGTAAAAAATCAGAAGAAGACGTGATTTTCTATTGAATAAGTAAAAGAATGAATATTTTTATGCATGTTTTCCATGAAATATAATTGAATTTTAAAGAGCATCGAATATCAATGAGAAAATTGCATGCTATATAAGTAATCATTTTTTGCAGGGTATATTTCTTGCATGCAGCCGGAAATAAGTTAATTCGAAAGCCGACACCCTGAGGTAACTGAAGTATTATGGGAATACGCTGCATGATGATTAGTTTTACAACCCTTCTTAACTAATCTTTTCGAAACGAGAACACATTTGGAATTTCCGTTGACATTTCATGAGTTAGCCCACCTACTGTATGTTATCGTGCAGCACGCATGAGCAATAATCAAAAATGCATGTTCGCCTAATTTGACACGAAACGTCGTTCTAACTTCAACGTCTTCAACTCTGCCACGGTTATTACTGACGCTTACAGGATTAGCTTTCTTTTTTTTGATGTGAAATGTCACAATGGTCAAATTACGCGACGAGTCTGAAGGGAATTCAGCCCTAGTGGAGGTTACGTTTCAGTAAATAAGTTAGTTGCCTTGGAAAAACCGCTAAGTAGAGTAATTTTAAGGCACTCATTATATCGCACTCACCGTATTCATACTTCATATTCGTTTTCCTGTCGGAGATGTAAAGGATGTGACTTAGCTACTGAAGTTGGTTGAAATCAAATTGCATTCTTATGAAATTTTTTTAAAACAAATATAATATGTCCTCCTCTGACTATTTAACACAGAGAACATAAATTATTTTGAACAAAACTACAATCTTCCCTATGAAATCTTGAGTTTTGGGGACCCATTGCATCTTACAGCAGTCGACAAAAGCCCGAGTGGGCATAATGGGACTATTACGCAGAAATTAATCGTCTTCGACTCACACATTGCTTGAATTTTCCGGGCTGACCATAAAAGTCAGGACCTGAGCACTTAACACCAAATCCTGCCATTACCAATACCCGAAAGCATACAATAACAATCGCACAGAGAACGCTGGAGAGCCGAACCCTTCTCAGTTGCGTCATGAAGCAAAGAATCATTAGCGAAACACGTTCATGGGCTTCCATTGTGTGCCAGTGTTGAAAGAATGGCGAGATAACACTATGGACTATCATTTTAAGAAAGTCAGTATTTTCCACTATCATAAAAACAATTTGGGAAATACCGAATTCCGGTTTAACTAAGGTTCAAGCCAGCTATAGTGCGTGAATAATGTACATAAGAAATTGGAACCTTGATTGCGACCTGACAGTGCATTTTACGATGTTCAGACGCTTTGCTAACGGACTTCTGACTATGAAATCGCCCCGTTCGACCAGCCATGTCATGTGATAGTTCGACCGTCGATTTCGACGATGTCTACCGTATGCCCCACAGACTGGAGGTGGGAGCAGGGACGGCGACTTGCGCGAGGTTTACAGCGCGAGTGGACTTACGCTTCATCTACCGCTCTCTCCTTCCCCACCTGAGCCCGGTGTCAAGACAAAGTCAAGCAGACCGGAGACGGGAGAGGGCGCAGGTGGATGGTGTGGACGGATCCGCACCTTGGCACTCCACTCCACACCCCCCTGGTCCACACAAAAAATGACCAGGATTTTGACCGACAAAACAATGGGAGGGGGGATGGGAGTGGTCCCAGTTTGTACGACGACTGCCAACAACAGGGTCTGCCACTGCACCCCCAAAGTGTTGGCATTTGTTATGGTGCGCAAATCCGATAACACCTGCAAGAATCCAATGTGGCCCCCGTGTTGGTCCAGTGCATCTACCAAGTAGCCCGTTTGGGGAGCACACGCCCCTCACACAGTAGCTCATTGGCGCACTTGGCAAGAGACACTACTACAGGTGAACTGCGCATTAGAGATTCGATTAGCGCTGGTATCTCTCAGTTCTCACTCCATTGTACTTCCTTTCATGCGTTCCCCTATAAACAATCGGTGATACCATTTCCCACCGATGTTTGGGCGAAAATTCAGAAACAGCGTTTAGCATGAAATATCATCCCTCCCGGAAATCAATCCTCAGACCACATTGCATTCACCAAGGCAGCCTTAAGGTCGTCGCTGAGTACTGTTCATAATGTAGAACCAATCTCCAATTATTTTTTCTCCTATTAACGAGCACGTTTTTAAACATTTTCATCTCATATTAAGCCGCGCATTAATCCCGCCATCTCGATAAAATTATTTATCATATCAAAAGTAGTAAATTCCCGGGATTTTGTCGTATGAACTTACCACGATTTTTTTATCACCTACGCTGACACCAAGCAAATAAGTACGGTGATCATAGTCTCGAATGTATTTGGTTTGAGAAAGGTAGCCGACTGAATCCCTGAAGTTCAATAAAATGAAGGTGGTGGACCTTCTGGACCGTATCTGGCGATTGGTCGCCAGATACGGGCAACGAAAGTTAGTAGAAACCATGTAAGCATGGGATTTGGGAAGAGCGATTATATTTCAGTATTGCTGAAACAAAGATCGTAGCCGTCAGTTTGACATTCATGCAGATTTTTCAAGGCGCTCCTTATTTCTCTACAAGGTTTCTCACTTACGCTAGGTGGGCTAACTCATGAAATGTCAACCGAAATTCCGAAATGCGTTTTCGTTTCGAAAAGATTAATAAAGTAGGTCGGTAAAACTGATCGGTCTGCAAAATAATTCTACAATATTTCAGCTACCTCAAGATGCCGGCTTTTGAACGAACTTTATTCCTGTTGCATGCAAAAATCCACTCTGTAAAAAAACGACTACTTTTGTAGCACGCATTTTTCTCATTGATTTTCGATGCCCCTAAAAGTCCAATTATATTTCATGGAAAACGTGCATAAAAAATTCATTCTTTCGCTCATTCCGTAGAAGATTACGTCTTCTTTTAATTTTATACTCGAAGGAGGGACATATTTCGGTTTTAAAAATGTTTATACTTGTGGGACTTTTAAATACCGTGAAATGGCCGTTCATAATTCGTCATGTCTCTGCATTTAACAATGTGGCGTGTAACGTTAACAATATGGGTCAAATGCACTGCTTACTTTTGTGAACCCTATGTATTCCCTCTTTATCACAGTAAAGAAATGTGTGGTTTTCCGTACACGGAAAATATACGGCGTGCAGTTTGGAAACCCTGAATCCAAGTGTAAAGGTAGAGCGGGTTCAGAATTAGTCGGGGATTGGAATAGTTTTTGAAAACCTAATTATACCCTTCCTTCGAGTATAAGATTGGACGAAAACGGAATTGTCTACCTAATGAGCAAAAGACTGAATATTTTTCTGTATGTTTTCCATGAAATATAATTAGACGCTTAGGAGCATCGAAAATCAATGCCTGCTACAAAAGTAGTCGTTTTTTACAGAGTGCAGCTTTTGCATGCAACCGGAATGAAGTTTGTTCGAAAGCCGGCATCCTGAGGTAATTGAAATATTATAGAATTATGTTACAGGCTGGCTAGTTTTACAACCCTACTTAATAAATATTTTCGAATCAAAAACGCATTTCGAAATTTCGGTTGACCTTTCATGAGTTAGCCCACCTACTGCCGTGGGGTGCAAATTTCTAGTGATTCTGAAAGTAAAACCTGTCACTCGGACTTGCTTAAGGTTAACGACCGGCCGGATTCTGGAGCAGAAGTCCATTTTCCCTTGTCGATCAAGCTTGCCAACCACTTAACGAATGTGCCTTCGTCTGAAGGAATGTCTACCTCATTTTATTCGATGCTTCGAGAAGGTTGGCGTTTAAAAAAACAGACTGAAGATGTTTATAACAGTACTGCTTGCCAATATGCTAAAGGGTATCCGAAAAATTTGCCAATTCCGTGCTCTCTGTAATCCGCTGGTTTGACGCTCACTTGCGCGATCGGTGTGCGACTATCTATCATTGTTTATATACCCGATCGTAACCGATTGGAAAACGAGCCCGTAGCTCCGTGCGTAGAATGCTGGACTTCCAAGCGACAGATGGTGGGATCGGACCCCAGGAGTTGCACACTTCAGGGTTGGGGATGGTAGGCTGACGACAGCTACCAGCCCAGAAAAAGCCATTCCTGTGTCCTTGTCTTCGTCGCTAATGCTATTTTGCCCACATATACACCTCCCGCCTGGAAATTATGGTGTTTCCGGTATCGCTTTTAACGGGACTCCCCGATTCCATAAACCATTCGGTGTCCGCACCCATGGCGACGAGCATATAGAAATCAGCTCTTTTGTTTCCTCGTGATTTGTTTGTCTTGACACACACGTTATTGAGACCTGTTTGTTTCTGCATCGACTAGCAGAAATCTCGCCTTTGAGAGTTCTGTTTTTACTGTTAACAAATCAGATGTCCCCACAAACAGCCAGTACCACGATAGGACCAATGTCTGGCCAGAGATCAGAAAGCAAACTCGTAAACAAAGTAACATCGACTTCTATCGCCACCTTGTCGCAAGATTCAGGAAATGTCGGTAGAGTCTGCGAGAGGGAAGTCAAACGAACATGCCTAGTCGACATCTTGCCCCCGGATATCTACCTACCGGCAGATGCATGTGAGCTAGAAGCCAAAGAAATTATGTCTGAATGTTCCACACACAACCCTTAAAAATACCTTCGCCCACCGTCCAGTGGCACCTGCTCCCACATCGTTTGCCGACTCAGTGTGGAAACTGTGGAACAGATTTTGAGTCTGATGTGGTCTAACAGCCTCCTTCGCCGTTGCCCTATCATCGCAATCAGCCCAAGAAAGACTCAGTGTGAAGGTGTATTCAGTAAGTTGGAAAAGGCATATTTGGCAGGTTCAAATTTGTGAAAACTTGAACAACAGGAATGCCAAGTTGTCTACGTAGAGGTAGATGAAGGCGTCCTTCTCGTGTGTCACATAGCTGAAATGAAGGAGGAAGAGAGAGAGGGGGGAGGATAATAAGTAACTGTTATTTCTAACTTGCCCACTTTAATTATAAGAACGCTGAAGACCTAACATGGACGACATACGAATCTTTTGGGGTGGTCCGTGGAGCTGGTTCTCACAGCCAGGCGAATGCTACGGCTACGGGACGGCGTAGAAGGAAGGTAATGTCAGGCAATCGATTAAAGACTAGGGAATTGCGTAACGACATGCAGAACGTATATTGATCTCCCGAGGTTACAAATCTGTTTCTTAACTGATAAATCTCATTTAGTGGTCATTAGAACAGCCCCTATGATTCTGCCACCCTCTTCCCCTTTGCCAGACTCAACTCACGTTAGTTCTTCTGTTCTCGCAAAGTCAACAGTGCTTTCTGGTTGCTAGCATTCAGTAACAGAGCCCCTCTCAAGGCCAACAGACGTTATTTGAACGGCAGCGGGATTTACAAACGTTCAATTATGCGTGACAATGTTCGATAGTGGTTAACTTGTAATTCTGCACTTAGGTTAAGTTGCTGAAACCTAGCCGCGGCATGCGTTAATCGTACTGCCCTGAGTGCTCTACCTCCATAATTACTGCTCCATATGGGGATGTTGGGACACGCCTAGGTGCAGGATCCACGCCGCGCCAGTCACTGCGTCCAATTCCAGCATCAGCTGGCTGAGATGCTCAAACAGCCGATTGGGCATGGGAAAGAGAAGCGCGACAACAACGTCAGCACCGGAGATTCCTTTCCCACAGCAAACCAGCCCACACCTTACTGTAATAAATCTAACGCTCCTGAATCCGTAATGACGTCCTAGAAATCGTGCTTGGAAGGTTTTCAACCGAAGAAATGACACGGCCTTTGCGTGAGTGGCTGTATAACTGGCAGTCAGACTTAATGGATCCTGCTTACTGAGATGAGATTCAACCGGCTCACAGGTCGTGTTTGGTACGCTTCGGTTTGACTGTGTCTTGTCATTGAAATCTGGTGGGTAAGGGAGCCGGTGGTAGTCCTGGGTAGCGACGATAAACGCGTCAGCTGATACGGCGAAAATAAAAAATTATAAAAATATTTTTCTAGGCATATGGAAAGCCAGGCCCATTGAATGACTAAAAATGCACCTTTCTGTAAGAAAAACTGGGAAATGTTCACTTCCGGTCCATGTACCTACCTGCCAAAATGCTTTCCCACGATGCAGTGCCAGGTCTCGCCGTGACGCCTGTCGAATTCCTTCTTCACGAACGCGGCCATGTCCTTCTCAATTTCGTACTTTGATACAGCCAGAAGAGCCAACCTAACGGCATCATCCTTCACCTCAGGACTCATATCAAAACTCCGGATAGTGACTTTCCGATTCTCGGCCATGATGACGGGTGTATCGCCAGCTATCGCTCCGAGTCTTAGGGACCGAGAAGGCCCATTTTATAGTCCAGTGCTTGAGCACTTTCTTGGTGGGGTGCTTTGCCAAGAACTCGCTTCCCGGTGTTTGAAATACGAGCCACAACAAACTCCCCGGAGTGGGTACTTTTGGTTTGAAGTCAGCTGAGCACAAAGTGCAAAAAGGCTTCCGTTTTAAACGGTGCAGATTACTATTTCTGCATGCACTTTGCCCTCAGGTGTTTAGCTGCTTCTAAAGACCAGGTGATGACAATAGCTGTGGACGGGTCAGGCTGGTTTGGATTAGATGTCCAGCCAGATAAGCTAGCGCCTTATGGCAGCAGTTTCGGCTCAGTAGTCATCATCAGCCGGCCACACGCGACCCCAGATTTGGCCACAGCATCTTTGATCGCGGAATCTAGCGCTCTACCACCTGGTCGCGGGTTGTTGTCCCGTAGGCTGCTATGAGGCATATTAATAATGTTGGAGCAGGGTTCAGCGACCGGTTACGGGACACGCTCCTGCCTTTGTGCCTCGAGGCTCAATCTCGAGCGTTCGAATAAATGATCATAGGGGCTTGGAAGGCTGCCGACTGATGAGATGAATCGAGCCTTCTGCCAGGACGGAGAGTCAGGCTACAATGACTCCTTCTTAATGTGACCACTGTGGCAATTCCACTCTGTTGGGATCTGAGCCGTCACTTTGCTATTTCCTTAAAAACTTGGCCCATCGTAGCAGGCGCGTTTAGCACGCGCAATCGGACTGTTTAGCTCCGTCAGCTGCAGTTCCCGTTCTCCGCTCTGGTTTTCTTGGCTCTGACCTGACACCGGACTCATATGGGTAGGGAAGGAGAGAGCGAGATAGATGCGGCGCAAGTATACCATCTGCTAGGACGGAGAGTCAGGCTACAATGACTCGGTTTTAAAAAGTTTCTTATTGTGATATTTTTGAATAACGTGAAATGGCCGTTCATAAAACGTCATGTCTTTTCATTTTCCAACGGAGCTTGTAAAGTTAACAATATGGCTAAAACCCACTGCTACATTTTATGAACCCCATAGAGACTCCTCTTATTACCGTAGAGAAATGTAAGGATTTCCGTACGCGGGAAGTATACAACTTCTAGCTTGGAAACCCTGAATGCAAGTATAAAGGCAGGTCGGGGTTCAAAATTTTTTGGGAATTGAAAAAGTTTTTGAAAATGGAATTATACCCTTGCTTCGAGGGCAAAATTGGAAGAAGGCGTACTTTTCTACTGAATGAGCAAAAGAATGAATATTTTTATCCATGGTTCCCATAAAATATATTTGAATTTTTATGGACATCAAAAATTGCTTGCCGCTGCGCAAACCCATAATCTACGCGTGCCACACACCCGCTGGTCAGTAACTAAACATTCACTGAGTTTCGAAAATAAGTCGTGGCCGGAAAGCTGACGTAATTTGCAAAGCCACGATGGGTGCAAAAAGTAGAAGCCGTTGCAAATGACCTTCATGCCTGAGGAGAGCTTAGTATTCCTATCAACTCGCAGCCGTCAAGGTCACAGCCGTCAGTGCGCCATCATGGCTACAACCGCGTTCGTTTTTCTCTAGCGAGGAATTAAGCCATGACTCCAAACGGGGCCAACTTCACTCTTTATTTCCCCAACCAAACATCAGAAAGTGACAGGCGATGAGATTGGGCGCTAAGGCTGACCTGGCGTAAAGCCGTCGTTTAACATGCGCCTCGCACCAAATCAGATCTTAGGTGCGCACAAGACGCCACGAAGGACACACTCACCAGGATTCATTCTCGTTCTTAGAGGGCGGGGGGAGCATTAAAACATCCATCAGTCAGCAATCTTCAGAACTCACACTTATTACTGACAAACATGAATTAGTAGGATCGTCATCTGCCTCTCGCGCGAGCCGGTGACTTGTTCGAACCCGGCAGGTCACTGATGAGGAGATCTCTTACCAAACACCTCAATATATCTCATTCCACAAGCAGTCCAGCACTGCCCCACAGGGTGAAACTTGTGCCTGAAATGGAAAGGCATTTCGCTGCGTCTTTTCGTCCTCTCCTCCGGCACATGACAAGAGAGCGTCAAGACGACCGAAAGTGCAGTGGTTGACCAATTTAAAATTTCGGTCTACCTATACCACACACGGCCTGGTCAATGACCGATGTCTTGTACAGCTGGTGGGCTAACTCATGAAATGTCAACCAAAATTCCAAAATGCGCATTTGTTTCGAAAGGATTAGTTAAGTAGGGTTGTAAAACCAATCGTCGTGCAGCATAATTCTATAACAATGCAGCTACCTCAGGATGCCGGCTTTCAAAAAAACTTCTTTTCAGCTGCATGAATCAGGCGCACACCGTAAAAATGACTACTGAAATCGCATGCATTATTCTAATTGATTTTCGATGCCCTTAAAAAGTCAATAATATCATATGGAAGACATGCGTAAAAATATTATTTCTTCTACTCATTCGGTAGGTAATTACGTTTTCTTTCAATTTTATACTCGAAGGAAGGGTATAATTTGGTATTAAAAAAATTTCTTATTGCGAGATATTGTGAAATAGCCTTTCATAAATCGTCATGTCTCTACATTTACCAATGTGGCTTGTAAAGTTAACAATAATGCTGAACTCCACTGCTAATTTTTTTGAACCCTATATGATCTCCTCTGAATGCCGTAGAGAAATTTACGGTTTTCCGTACGCGGAAAATATACGGCTTGTATTTTAGAAACCCTGAATGCAGTTATTACGGCAGGGGAGAGCTAAAAATTAATCGGGAATTAGAAAAAGCTTTTAAAATCCGAATTAAATTCACCCACCGAATGAGCAGAAAAATTAATATTTTTATGCCTGTTTTCCATGAAATATAATTAACTTTTTAAGGGCATCGAAAATCAATGAGAAAAATGCATGCAATCACAGTAGTCATTTTTTACATTGTGTGGCTGTTTCATACAGCTGGAAAAACGTTTGTTTGTAAGCCGGCATCGTGAGCTAGCTGCGTCGTTATATAATTATGCTGCACGACGATTGGTTTTACAACCTTACTTAATTAATCTTTTCGAAACGAAAGCTCATTTCCGTATTTCGGTTGATATTTCATGAGTTAGCTCACCTACTGTAATTCTGACCAAAATTATGAAATGCATTGTCAATTGGGTGGGATTACTAAACATGTGTTGTAATGTGCATTATTATGCAACGATATCCCAGGGTATTTCAGGTTTGTCAGGATGTCAGCTCATTTTCGGCTGCCTGCTGAATCCGCACACGATGAAAAAGTGGCTTCTTAATCAGGATGCATCTTTTTGCACTTATTTTCACTATGTTCATAAATTCGAATATATTAGATATGCTAACTCATGAAATGTCAACCAAAATTCTTGAATGCGGTTTGACTCGGAAAGATTACTTAGGTAGGGTTGTAATAGGAATCCTTTCGCACCACAATCTTATGACAATTCAGATACCTCAGGATGCCGGCGTTTGAACTAACTTCTTTTCAGCCGCCTGCAAAAACTACATTCGGCAAAAATGACTACCTAAGTGGCATGCATTTTTCTCATTGATTTTCGACGCCCTCATAAATTCGAATATGTCTCACAGGCGACATATATAAAATGTTCAGTCGTTTACTTATTTGGCAAAAAATTATCTCATCTTCAAATTTTTTACTCTAGGGAAGGGTTTAAATCGGGTTCCAATGGTTTTTCAATTCCCCAATAATTTAGAATCCGACCAGCCGTTGCATTTGCATTCGGGGTTTCCAATTTACAAATTGTATATTTTCCGTGTATCGAAAACCGTACATTTACATACGCTATTAAAAGAAGACCGAATACGTTTCATAAAATTTAACAGTAGCTTTGTGCTAATTGTAAACTTTACAAGAAACAGTAGTAAACGCATAGATACAACTTTTTATGATAGGGCATTTTACGGTCCTAATAATTCGCATAACTAGAAACATTTTCTAACCGAATATCAATGGGAAAAGTCATGCCATTTAAGTAGTCATTTTTAGAGACTGCACTTTTTCAAGTGGCCGGAGAGAAGTTCATTCAAAAGCCGGCATTATAGGTACCCGAATCGGTACGAGATTATGCTGCATGGTGATTAATATTACGACACTAATTAAATAATCTTTTTGAGTCGAAAACGCATTTCATAATTTTAGTTAATGCTTCATGAGTAAGCACATCTAGTGTATATTACAGGAAGCCATGAGGGTAAATTTCCCGTCTCGTATTCCTGCCGTAGCAAATCGCATCTGCTTCAAAATTAATGGCCACAGAAAATATATTTTTAGTTTTAAAGAAGTCTCCTAATTTTCAAGTAATTTTGATATCGACCTGCCGTCGTATTTGCGATTGGGGTTTCCACGTCTGCCGCATGCATACTTTCTGTATGGACAGAGCCAAGGATTCCCTTATGCCATTAAGCTGATATCAAATAGGGTTCCGCGAATTTCGCAATGAGTGCTGACTCTAATGTATGTTTTATGAGGAACATTAAAAACGCAAAAATGCCACGCCAATAAAATGAACATTGCGTGGTCTTAGAAAATCTCATAATTTGAAACTTTTTAAGATTGCAAAACGCGTTTTCCTCGAGTATTAAATGCAACGGAGACGTTGTTTACTACCACGTGAGTGCAAAAAATAGTATCGCGTTTACGTTTGCTGTAAAGTATATTAGAAATTTACTGGTATTGAAAGTTAGTATAAGAACTTCATGCTAATAAATGTGTCACTTTTTTTGGAGTGCTGATTTTGTCGGCAGCAAATAACAAAACAAATAACAAATAAACAAACAAATAACAAATAACAAATAACAAAATGTATTGGAATTATGCTACAAGAAAATCAGTCCAATAATCGTTCGAATTTCATGATTTTGGTTAAAATTTCATGAGACTGGCTACTGCCTGTTACCACATTCTTTTGGAACGAAAAAACACTGCTGTATTTTTAGATTCTAG